TTGAACACGGACTGAAGAAGCCTTCCCTGCTTGGGGGCGCCTGCCACCCGTGGCTGTTTATCGAGGAGGTGAGTCAGTGGGCCCGTGTGCCTCACATCCTTTTCCCTGGCCCCGTGGAGCAGGCAGCAGGAGCTCATGGCGCGGGGATGTGTGTTCAGCTGGACTTTGTGGCTTTGACCTGGTACCTCCCTTGTGGTCCCTGACACTGAACCTGCCCCCCAGGCAGCGGGCCGGGAGGTCGAGAGAGACTTCGACTCAGTGTATTCGCGCCTAGTGCTGTGTAAGACCTACAGGTAACCAGCCCCTGCCCCCTGCCCAGCGTCCTGGCGGGTTGCCTGGCTGCCCCAGTGTGGGGAGAGGGAGTGGCCTGAGCCCACCAGGGTAGCGCTGGCAGCTTTGGTCCCCCCTCAGGTTGGATGAAGATGGCAAAGTCCTGACCCCGGAGGAGCTGCTCTACAGGGTAAGGGGGGCCATGGGCGGGGCAAGCCTCCTGGCTTGGCAGCTGGGGACACCTGAGTGACAGCTGTGCCTTCCCAGGCTGTGCAGTCCGTTAACGTGACCCACGATGCTGCACACGCACAAATGGACGTCAAGCTCCGCTCCCTCATCTGCGTGGGGCTCAAGTGAGTGCACTGCTGCTGGGGCTGGGGGCAGTCAGAGGTGGAAGGGGTAAGGGTGAGAGCAGCCCTGCTCTGCGGAGGGGCGGTGCTTGCAGGGGTTTTGTGAAGCACAGATTCCAGCAAGCTGAGCAGGAAAGGGGCTCCCCAGAGACACAGCTACAAACTAGGGAGGGGCACCTGCCCGAGGGGCCTCAGGCACGTGTGAGGCTCAGATCTGAGTGAGCTTGAGTGTGTGGTGTTTGCGGACTTGTCACCTGGCAAAGGAGCAGCCTCCAGGCTGCTCTGACCCAGGAAGGGGGGCAAAGTTCCTGAGACTAGCTCAGAACCTAGCCATGGATACGCTGGCTGGACTGTGCGTGTTGCTCCTGGACTGACCAGCAGGGCCCAGGCCTCTGTGCCTGCAGATGGCATGGCCGGGTCTCAGACTCAGAAGGAGCTGTGATGGGACCGAGGGGAGTGGGGGCCATGGGGACCACGAGCCCCTGAGCATGTCTCCCCGTGTGGAGGAGTCATGATGAGGCCACTCTGCAGAGACCTGGCTGAGACAGGAGGCGGGGTCACCTGCGGGGGCTGGAGGAGCCCGGGAGTGGGCTGGCCCAGGGCAGCATGAGGGGCAGAACCCCATCCCTGGTCATCGGGAGTCCTGTGGATGGAGGCCAGAAGGCCCAGGAGCAGCCCCCAAGCCCACCCTGCCTGTCTCCAGCGAGCAGGTCCTGCACCTGTGGCTGGAGGTGCTCTGCTCCAGCCTGCCGACCGTGGAGAAGTGGTACCAGCCCTGGTCCTTCCTGCGCAGCCCCGGTTGGGTCCAGATCAAGTGCGAGCTCCGGTGAGGAAGCACGGGGCTTCTGGGGCCCTGGCCCAGTGGTGTGGGCCGAGGCACCTGAGGACAACTGACAGCCTCCCCTTCGCTTCCAGTGTCCTCTGCTGCTTCGCCTTCAGCCTCTCCCAGGACTGGGAACTTCCTGTGAAGAGAGAGGTGGGTGGTCGGTTGGTCGTCGACCCTGCAACCTGCCTTCCCGCAGGGGGCTGTGGCGGGTGGGGCCACCTGGGAGTCTGTTGGCAGACGACTCCAAACACATCTGGGTGGCTGAGGCCGGGCCTCGTGGGGACCCTGAGCACTGGCATTGCCTCTAAGAACCAGTCTGGCGGCTGCCACCTTGGGCTTCCTTGCGGTGTGCCCAGCACCCCTGCCCTGAGGCCTGTGACAGGAGGGCTGTCCCTGTACAGGAGGAGAAGACACCCCTGAAGGAGGGCGTCCAGGACATGCTGGTGAAGCATCACCTTTTCAGCTGGGACATAGACGGGTGACGTGTTTCCTCCAGAGACCCCGTCAGTCACACCCAGGCCTCCCCCAGCCCATTGGCTACCAGAGCCCCTTCCTCAGGCAAGACGAGAACAGCACAGCTCTGGCCAGTCTCAGGCTCACTCTGGGACGGGGTCTGAGGTGGCCCCGGTGCACTGTGAGCTGTAGGGTCAAGGAGAGGATGCACCGCGAGCCCTGGCTGGGCACCGTGGTAGAGTCCGGGGACACCACCCTGGGCACCCAGAATATTGGTGGAGGGCAGTGGGTGGCAGAAGCAGGAGGAGGGGGTCAGGCTCAGCCTGTTCCAGTGCCTGGGCGAGGGCTCTGCCCTGCCAGGGTCTGCACAGAGGCCCCGGGCCCCAACTTCACTGTGCCGACCAAAAACCAAGAACAGCTGCCTCTGTTGTCAGGTTTTGCTCAGGAAGGGGATGGGGGTGGCTAAAGGCTCCTTGGCCTCCTTGATTTATAAATAAACAGCTGTCTTTGAGAAAGCACCTCCCCCTATCTGTCTATCTTCTGTCCAGCCTGGGCTGCGTGTCCAAGGTTCTGCTCTTCCTGGAAATGGTCCAGAACTTACAGCCAGGCCTGGGCGGTGGCCTGATGGGGCACAGGGTCAAAGTCACAGCATGGCACCCAGGGCCCAGCTATACCCGCCCCCAGCTTCTTCCCTGGAGTGAACAAGATGGACTAACAAGTGGTGGTTTTGCTTTTATTTTAAAAAGTCACACAGCTTCCCCACCTCTGTCCCAGCACTGGTTTTGGTGACTCCATCCTTAATCCCCTATGAATAACAGTGACAGGCCAGAACGGAGGCCAGGCAGGAAGAGGCCAAGTTTGGAGGCCACCGCTGTGCCAGGGCCATAGTGACTGCAGTGAGGCAACGGGACGGAATGTGGGCAGGTGGCCAGGCAGCACCTCTGCCCTCGTGGCACTGATAAGGAGCAGGAAGCAGGAGAGGTGGGGCACCGGCTGTGGCGGGGTGTCTACACGTCAAACACAGTGATGGGTGGGCCAGGGTAAGCTGTGTCCTGCCCCAGGAGCGGTGGCTCCAGGCCCTTCCATGTGTGCACAGTGTGGGGAGGAGCTGCACCTCCCCCCCGTGTATGTGTGATAAGTATGGCGATATATAATAGAGGTATATACACCTGTACAGAAACTCTGCCACCAACCACTACATGGTTACACTACACCAAGACACTAGAATGGCAGGGAGCCCCCTCCCAGGAGGCCTGGACAGTGGTGTCGGCGTCACGGGGACGGTGAGGTAGCGGCCCCGCCAGTCCCTTCCCTCTTGGGAAAGGCAGAAGTAAGGATATTCGCCCCTGGCCCCGCCTCAGCCCTGGGCCCTGCCTGCCTGAGCAAACTGCAGCCAGCAAGTGCACCCGACCTCACAAAAGGAGGTCAAATAGAAGCCCCTGGCCTGTCCAGGCCCCCAGAACCCCAGGGTGGGACCCAGAGCTGCTTCTTGGCAGCTTTTCTCCTCCGTGAGCCTGAGTCAGGCAAAGGGACGCCTGGCCCCAGCCTCCCCCTGAGGGAAGTGGGGCCTCTTGATTGTCAGACTCACGCCCGCGTGGAGAGGCTGACCAGGCAGGAGCGCGCCGAGTTCCCGAGTTCTCCAACTTCCCCGCCCCCCCAGCCGCCCCACTCTGCAGCCCCAGAGCTACAAGCAGGAATCCCAGTGTAGCTGCAAGTCGTGGCCATCGAGGAAGTCCGTGGAGAAGAGGCTGGGGGACGTGGTGCTGAGCGGGGCCAGGCTGAGCACGGGCCCCCCGGAAGACAGCTCCAGCCAGTCCATACTGTCCAGGTGGCCGTCAGCTAGGTCCAGGCCCACGCCACTGGGCTCAGGCGCAAAGTGCAATTCCGAGGTGTCCATGGGGGAAGGGGGGTGGTCCAGGATGGCAGAGCTGCTCAGCATCTGGCTGTGAAGGTCATCAATGAGGGAGAGGGGCTCTGGCCCCTCGTGCCCACCGGTCAACAGCGGCAGCCCCGTGCTGCTCTCCAGGAAGTCCTCCAGGCGCCCAGGGAGGGCCGGCGAGCCCGAGGGAGGCGGGGCGGCCTGAGGGAGCTCAGTGGAGGGTGAGGGCTGTGTGGCCAGGGGTGACCCGCAGGCAGCTGTCGAGGGGGCCTTCTCTTTCCCTGGCTCCTTGAAATCTGCTGAAATCTCTGCCAATCAAGAAAGTGAATGGGTGTCAGAAAGCAGCCTGAACAGGGCCTGCAGTTGGGCCCTGCCATACACCATGTAGAAAAACTAACTCAAAATGGGTCAGAAGTCTACATTTAGGAGCTAAAACTACAAAACTCTTAGAAGGAAAGGGAGTATCTTCATGACATTGGATTTAGTAATGATTTCTTGGTTATGATACCGAAGGCACAGGCAATGAAAGGAAAAATAAGCCAGACTGACTACATAAAAATTTAAAACTTCTGTACATCGAAGGTCACTATCGAGTGAAAAGATTGTACAGTAACCGTATTTCAACAAATTTAAAAAGTGAAACAACCCATGGAATGGAAGAAGATATTTGCAAATCATATTTCTGTTACGTGATTAATATCCAGAATAAGATAAAGAATGCCTACAACTCAACAAAACCAACTAAACATGGACAAAGAACTCAGACATTTCTCTGACAGAAGATACAAACACATGAAACGATGCTCAACGTTATTACTCATGAGGGAAATGCAAATCAAAACCACGATGAGAGACCACTTCACACCTGCCAGGATGGCTGTTTTCAAAAAAATGGAAAATAAGTGTTGGTAAGGATGCGGAGCAACTGGAACCCTTGCGCATTGCTAGTGTGTATGAAAACAGTACAGCTGTATGGAAAAATTTTGTGCTCCCTCAAAAACTTAAACACAGAATTACCATGTGATCCAGCAATCCCACTTCTGGGTGTGCACCCCACAGAACCGAGCGTGGACTCAGATACGGGTATGCCACGTTCACAGCAGCGTTACACAGGACAGCCAGAACAAGGAAACCACCCCAATGTCCAGCGGGCCAGGAGATAAATACAGCGTGGGATACACACACAAGGGAACGCCATTCAGCCACAGTGAGTAAGGAAATTCTGATATAAGCTACACCATGGATGAACCTTGAGGGCATCGTGCTCAGTGAATCCAGCCAGAAACAATAGAAGGGCAAGTACTACATGACGCCACTCACACGAGGTATGGAGGCGACTGAGTCCCAGAGACAGAAAGCAGGAAAGAGGTTACTGGAGGGTGGGAGGAACAGGAAGTTGGTATGTAAAGGGCGATGTATCCATTTAGGATTGATGGAAAGTTCTGGAAATGGACAGTGGTGATAGTTACGTGACACTGTAAATGAACTTAGTGCCATTGAACTGTGCGATTAAAAATGGTTATAATGGTAAATAAACTATGTTATATATACCACAATAAAGAAATACGCAGAAACCAGGCCTACTGCCTGATCCCTGGGTCCCATGCTCCTCCCACCCGGGCTGGGCTGAGCTGCGCTCTCACCAGCTCCCTCCAAGTCCCCGCAGACCTGCCCCACCCACCCTCTTCAAGCGCCCTCTTCCCCTGGCATCATGGCCACTTCTCAGTGTCCCTTTGGGGGCCAGGCAGCAGTGCCTGGTTCCTCTCTCTGGTCTCTCCCTCAGCTTCTCTCAGCATCCGCCCTCTCATTTATGCTCCGCCTGCAACTCCCAGAGCCTCAGTGCCACCTGTGCTTATTAGAAACGCACCTCAGACCCTGGGATCCAGGGGGGTCTCCCTGAGCTCAGAATCAGTGACCTTGAGAGTAATGTCAGCTGCTGAGTGACTTTTTGTAACTAAGAGAAAATCCACCATTTTCAAGTGTACAAGTCCACGAGTTCTCGCTCTGCCTGCACCATCTTGGTTGACCGTCTCCCTCCTGAGCACGCCTCGCACACCCTGCCTTCCTGCCCCAGGGCCTCCCCCTGCTCCTCCCTGAAGCCAACCCCTCGTCTTCAGCCCTGCCCGACCCCACCCCCGTCAGCCCCCCAGCACGTAGACACGCTGACCTTTCTGGGCCCCCCTCTGCAGGAAGCCCTCGCCGAGAGCTCTCAGACCCACGCCTCTCACATCCCTGGCCCCCTTCAGCCCACTTCTAGAGGCCTCACCAGGGTCCCACTGCAGCACCCTGGCTGGGGTCACCAGCGACCACCACGATGTTCACCCCAAGACTGAGTCTTGGTCCTCTTCCCTGATCGCCCATCAGCAGCCCTTGGCCTCAGGACTTTCCCCTCGCAAGGGCACACTCCATCCTCTGCCCCCTGCTTAGCCTTATCTGCTTGTGCCACCGGCCTCCACCTTGCCCAGCCTCACACTCTATAGACGCCCATCCAGATGCCAACAACTCCCCAGCTCCTGCCCCCAGCCCAGGCTTCACCGCACCCTGCCCCCGTGCTCACGCAGCTGCGTGCTGGTAACTTGGTCCGAAGCCCTTGGCCACCCTCGTGTCCCCTTGCCAGACACCTAATCCACTAGGAAACCAAATGGACTCTCTTTCCAAAATACACCCAGACTCCAGCCCTGCCCCACTTCACCGCTGCCTCCCGGGCCCACACAGCTGGGCTTCCACCTGGGTCACCCTTGCACCTGCTCCTTCCAGCGTTCCCCAGGGTTCACACGCCTCCACCCTGTGCCCACAAGGCCTCCTGATCTATGCCAGGATCTCCCCTCCTGCTCCCTCCCACACTCACTCACTCACTCCCCCCACACACCCTCCTGCCGTACAGGTGCTCCCCAGGGATGCCTGTGGGTGTTCTTGCCCAGGCCGTGGAGAAGGGATGAGTCTCAGGCCTCACTGCGTCCAAAGTACCAGGCCTGCGTGCGCTGTGTTCCAGAACTAAGCCAAACCCAATGTGTCAACAGGCCCAGGACTGGAGACAACCCAGGAAGGGAAGAGGAGGCTGGGGAGGCGGTCCGGGGTCTGGACTTTACCTCCGCTCTGAATAAGAATGTCAAACAGGTCATCCATCTGCTGGCTTGAGGAACCATTTTCCTGTGGGACAAAAATAGGACACAAAGATGAAAACCCACAGCAGGAGGCCCCAGCCTGGCTCAGGGCACAGACCGTACCTTCTGCCCCTGAGCCAGCAGCCAGAGCCACAGAGCTCACCGGCCTGCGCTCAGGCTGTGGGGCCCACACTCACTAATCAGGGACAGGCCCTGGCACTCCTGCCAGTGACAGCCCACGCTCCAGGGCCTCTCTGACCCTACAGGACCGGCTCCTGCCCGCCCCGGTCCTCCAGCTGGGCCCAGGGACTGTGGGAGCCCAGCCCAGGAACCCAGGCAGCCGCCCACGCAGCCAGGCCTGTCTACCCTCCTGACCTGCTGTCTGGGCTGCTGGCTCACAGCTTCCTCATAGCCAGGTGGCTCCTTCTTCGGCAGAGAAGTGGGGGTCCCAAAAATGGGCTGTGTCGGGTGCTCCAGGTCCATCTGGGCTGGTGGGCCAGGAGCTGGAGAACCAGGCTGGGACAAGGGCTAGACAGGAGAACGGTGAGAGAACCAGCGGTGGGGTGAGGGCAGCCGCGGGGCCCCGCGCGCTCCAGGAAGGCACAGCGGGAGGCGTCTACCTTCTGGGCCCGGCCAGCTTTGCTACCTGCACTGGCTCTCGGGGGGCTCTCATGGAAGCCACTAGGGAAGAAGGGATACGGGGTCGGGGAGTCCCTGACCTCTGACCCTGCAGAGGCTGACTGGCTCCCTGGGGTTTGGTATAAGGCACGCGGGGCACAGGCAGGGTCTCTAGGCTGACTCCCCTTCCCCCAGGAGTTTCTGCCTGAGGCTGCTCAGGGGCCCTCGCCTCCCATCCTGGAGTGCCTGGTTCCTGCCACCGCCCCTCTACCCTGGGACTGGCAATGCTAAGAGGCCACACAAAGCCTAAATCAGCCTCACCTTTGGACCAGGCTGAGTGGAGGGTCTGGGCTGTGAGGGTGGCAGCAGCAGGGAGCCCGCAGCCAACGACACCTTGGTTGGGGGCGGCTGGCCTCTCTGAGGGAAGAGGAGTGGTGCTCATGTCAGGCCCAGTTGGGAGGCCCCCAGCCAGATCCTGACAGAGCCCAGCCCAGCCCTCTCCCAGGCAGGGGCTGTCCTGAGCCTCACCTGGGCCCACCCCACCCCACAAGCAGAGGTCACGGCGCCCCAGCCTGGGTGGGGCTGCTTGGGAGCCATCTGCCAGGTATAGAAATGTTCTGACACTGATGGCCAGACAGGCGGGCATTCCCTCATGGCTCCACCCACATGGCTGTGGGGTCTCAAGCAGGTGTCTTACCCTTCCCAAGTCTTAGGAAAACAAGCACTACCTGCCCAGCCAAGGGGTGCCTGGTGAATGCGGGGCTGTCATTAAAGGTATCTTTGCACCCTTCTATGGCCCCAGTACCTGCTGGGGGCTCCCGCCAGCCAGGCCAGGGCTGTCTGCATTCTTATTGGTCACGGTGAGGACAAGGTGGGTCCCTGTGGAGTCAGTGACGAGGGTGGGAGGTGTGACCCCCTTGATGAAGCTGGGGCCCTGTGGGCTCTGAAGCACCTGGGGGGCTGGGGCTGGTTCAGGTTCGGGCGGCACGGCTTCCTGCTTCACCACCACCGCCGAGGGCACCAGGGCACTGGTGTCTACGTGCTGGGCAGCAGGGGCTGCC